AGCCTAAAAAGGGGACTGAAAAACTAGGCTTATACTCAAGTATATACAGTATTTTAAAGTCTGTGCTGATATCAGTGACATGGGTGACCAAAGTGCCCGTGTGAGAAATGCTGACTTATAGTTTCATATTTTTTTATCCACTTGGACATAAGCTTTACTAGGATCAATGAGACATTTCACTCCTATAAGTGGAAAGTCAACTAGGCTAGTGGTTGGAACATTGGGCTACAATTCTGGATTTGAATCTCCACTTGACCATTAAACCCAGTGGGTAATGTTGGACACATCACACTCTTTCAGCCTCAGAGGAAGGCCATGGCAAACCTCTTCTGAATGAATCTTACCAAGACAGGCCTGTAACAGGGTGGCAACAAGTCAGAAACAACTTGAAGGCATATGGCAAGTGGAGTACAGGCAGTCCCCAAATTACAGACAACTTACCATACACTGAAGCTTTATCACCAATCCTTGTTTCCACAGAGTTTTTGTTTTGGCCTGGAAAGTAAAAGTGATGACTGTTGTACTCCAGAACAGGGATAATCCTCTGACTTTAAACACCACACATTGAATAGGAAAAAAAACAATCCTTTTATTGAAGATGAGTAAAAAGCAGCAAAGAAAAAAGCTCTTTAAAGAAATAGGTAAATCCAATTAGGTAAGAAGATAAGTAGGAACAAATTATTCCAAGATAGAGTTTAGCAACGTTTATAAAAGCAAAGTCCACACATCTCCAATACAATCCAAAAAATCAGGAATATATTGATCCAAGGCTTGGGTAAGCAATCATGAAATCCGGGAATCCAAAACCATGAACAAGAAATATCTTAGCATGAAATTTCAAAGCAAGGTTTCTATAAAACAAGGATGAGAACTTGGCGCAATTCTAAACAACGCTTCATCTGACTACACATCCCAAACTTGAGACTTTTGTCCCCTTGTTAGCTAGGAAACTAGCAGTCAAAAATTGGTTTCTCTTTAGTTGAGGCTTTGTTATTGTTTTCTGTTGAAGCCTGGCAGAGTGCCTAAGCCTTTGCAAAACTCTCCTGTTTTGACTGAACTCTTCGCGTCTATCTCTCAGCTCGTTATCTACTTGCTCATTAATTTCTGAATTTCCGAGCTATTTTCATCATCATCCCCACACACCTCAGCAGGCCCGTAGCCAGGATTTCGATTCGGGGGGGGGACTGAGTTTTTTTTCAGGGGGGGTTTCGGGGGGCTGAGTTTCGGGGGGGCTGAGTCTGAGTGAAAGAGGGTCTACCCTAGCAAACCTTTTGTATCAATACCCCAATACCCCCATGCATATGGGATATATTGAGTATGGTGATCAAATCATGATATGAATAAACATAACTGTTTAAATAATGTACCAGTAAGGCCTTTTTGCGAACCGCCCCTCAAGCCGCCCCCCCCTGCGGCTACATGCCTGCCCCTCAGGGACATTCTCATGGGAAGCTACAGGGATCTCCTGGTAATTCTCTGCATCAATATCACTGACCAAACCACTGCCATCTTGAAACTCACCTTGAACCTCATTAACATCATTCCTCGCATCCAAAGCACCCTGATCCTGAAACACAATCACAGGCTGAACTCCAACAATGACCAGGATACAGAAACTGAGTCCACTAAAGACAGTCCTCAGGTTACAGATGAGGTTCTATAAGTTTGTTCTTAAGTTGAATTTGTATGCAAGTCAGAACAGGTACGTTTTTAAGTGTAATTCCGGCCAAATATAAATCTTCTTTTAGTTTTGGATAGCATAGGGAAGAGTTAACACTCCTTGAGACATTTGCTGTGCCCCTGTTCAGAAGATTTCACCTCACTTTCTGTCCCTGTGATTGCATTTTGAAAAAAAAATGGCTTCTTGAGGAAACAAGGATTGGTGAGAAAGCTTTACCCTTTTCCCACGATAACTCTTCCAGGAGTAGATTTCCTGTTGTCTCACCCCCGTTCTGAACTATGAGCCGGGTGTAAGTCAGATGTCTGACTGTAATAAAAGCAGAGAATTTTACAATGAAGCAGATGTTTCTCAGGATTTTTCAGTGCGATCCTATTCGTGTCTACTTGGAAATGTGAAGGACCGAAAGACTGTGAGGCCATCAGAAGTTACTCAAAGTTTGCTTAGTGGGAACAACTCTGGCAGAGCCATACAACAAGACTCTCACAATAGGCTCCCCACAATGCTTATCCTGAAGTTAACACACGAATGTGTCATTTCATCAACAAAACTGACATTGAGAAATTATGAAATATATAAAAGTATAAAATAGAAGCCGCAGCTCCCCTATGACCAAATAAGCACAGGAGGGTTTTGTCTTACATTAACCTTTGTATGAATTGTCTTTGGAATGCTGCCTGATCACACTCAAACATCCTTCCCTTAATTTCTATAATCACAATAGCCTGGGAGACGTGAGGGGAGCACATAATGAATTTGCATCAGAGTTTGTAGATTCATTTTCTGACATCCGTGGTATTATCTAAGATATGGATGAGAATCACCTTGTCTGTCTCCTGAGGAATCTGTATAAGGACCAAGGAGCAACAGTAAGAACTGACCATGGAACAACAGATTGGTTCAAGATTGGGAAAGGCGTACGGCAGGGTTGCATACTCCCACCCAACCTATTCAACTTGTATGCAGAACATATCTTGTGATGTGCGGGGCTTGAGGAATGCAAGGCTGGAGTTAAAATTGCTGGAAGAAACATTAACCTTAGATATGCAGATGATACCACTTTGTTGGCCAAAAGCGAGGAGGAGCTGAGGAGCCTTCTATTCAAGGTGAAAGAAGAAAATGCAAAAGCTGGGTTGCAGTTAAACATATAAAAAAAACAAGATTATAGCAACAAGAATGATTGACGACTGGGAAATAGAGGGAGAAAACATGGAGGCAGTGATATACTTTGTATTTCTAGGTGCAAAGAWTACTACAGATGCAGACTGCAGCCAGGAAATCAGGAGAAGCTTACTTCTTGGGAGGAGAGCAATGACCAYTCTCAATAAAATAGTGAAGAGTAGAGACAGCACACTGGTAACGAAGATCCGTATAGTAAAAGCAATGGTATTCKCCATAGTAACCTATGGATGTGAGAGCTGGATGATGGGGAAGGCTGAGCGAAGGAAGAGAGATGCTTTTGAACTGTGGTGTTGGAGGAAAGTTCTGAGAGTGCCTTGGACTGCAAGAGGATCCAACCAGTCCATACTTCAGGAAATAAAGCCTGACTGCTCATTGGAGGGAAGGATATTAGAGACAAAATTGAAGTATTTTGGCTACATCATGAGAAGACAGAGAAGCTTAGAAAAGACAARGATGCTGGGGGAAATGGAAGGAAAAGGGAAGAGGGGCAGACCAAGGGCAAGATGGGTGGATGGTATTCTTGAAGTGACTGGATTGACCTTGAAGGAACTGGAGATGGTGACGGCCAACAGGGAGCTCTGGCGTGGGCTGGTCCATGAGGTCACAAAGAGCTGTACTCCTTTCCCAATTTTGAACCAGTCTGTTGTTCCATGGTCAGTTCTTACTGTTGCTACTTGGTCTTTATACAGATTCCTCGGGAGACAGAGAAGGTGATTTAGTATTTATTTATTTATTATTCGAACTTATATGCCGCCACTCCCCTGGGGCTCAGAGCAACTTACAAGAATGGCTAAAATCTAACACAATTTAAAAACAATTTAAAACAATTTAAAAACAGCAATATTCAAAATCAAAGGCCTGTCGAAACAGGTATGTCTTACAAGCCCTGCGGAAAGCTGATAAGTCCCGCAAGGCACGGACTTCAGGTGGCAGAGTATTCCAGAGTGATGGTGCCACTGCAGTAAAGGTTCTGTGTCTGGTTGCTGTTAGACGCAAGGTCTTGACACTGGGAATTTCCAATAGATCTTGGTCCTCAGAATGGAGGGATCTCTGGGGTTGGTAGGGGGTGAGGCGGTCCCTCAGGTCCATCGGCCCCAGACCATGCTAGGCCTCAAAGGTGAGTACCATCACTTTGAAAGTGATCCGGTGCTCAATTGGTAACCAATGCAGCTGCAGTAAGATTGGTGTTATATGGCATCTCATTGGAATTCCCGCAAGAAGCAGAGCAGCTGCATTTTGTACCAACTTGAGCTTCCAGATCACTAACAGAGGAAGGCCAATGTAGAGGGCATTACAGTAGTCCAGTCCTGAGATGACCGTAGCCTGGATCACCGTAGCTAGGTCGTCCCTGGACAGAGAGGGGGCCAGCCGTCTAGCCTGCAGCAGATGAAAAAAGGCAGTTCTGCTAATGGCGGAGACCTCAGCAGAGGGTCCAAAAGGACTCCCAGACTCTTTACCAATGATGATGGGCGTAGCGCCTTGCCATCCAGGGTGGGCAGTTGGGTATCCCCACTGCCCGGTTGACCCAGCCATAGGATCTCCGTCTTTGCTGGATCCACCCTCAACCTGCTAGCACGCAACCATCCAGTAATGGCCTTGAGGCACAGAGGGAAATAATCGGGTACAGATTCCAGTCGGTCTTCCATCTTCAGCACCAGCTGAGTGTCATCAGCGTACTGATAACACTCAAGCCCAAAACCTCGAACCAGCTGAGCAAGTGGTCGCATATAGATGTTAAACAACAGAGGGGAGAGAGTGGCCCCCTGAGGAACCCCACAATGTAAATTTGTAGAAAAGTGGGTAATAAACCACCCAGATTTGGTGGAGATGGTGCTTGCAGTTCTGGAGGGATTCTAATTTTTCTTCTCATAGATTTGGCATGGAGATTTGTTTAGCCAAGAAAAATTCATGGGAAATTTTTCAGGTGTGGTTTGAACCCCTAAAGGCCTACTTGCTCTATGTTTTTCTCTATACATCTATCTACCTGTGGCTCTGACATAGGCTGGGTTTTTTTGTCGGAGAGGCGGGTCTTAATCAAGAGCGACAAGTATTCCCGCCAATAGCGTCGACGCTGCCGGGGAACCAATGAGCAGCGGGAGCTTTGTGGAATGGCGTGGCGGGCAGCCAATGAGAGGGCCGGGCCCGAGTCGCAGTGGGCGAACGGCTACGGAGTGTAGTTGGCGGTCGCCGTTGTGTGCGAGGGAGAGGGAGAAGGGCCGCCGCCGCCGCCGCTGCGGGAGGAGGAGGAGGAGGAGGAGGCCTTCCCTCCCTCCCGCCATGTCGCTGCACGGGAAGCGCAAGGAGATCTACAAGTACGAGGCGCCATGGACCGTCTACGCCATGAACTGGAGCGTCAGGCCCGACAAGCGCTTCAGGCTGGCGCTCGGCAGCTTCGTGGAGGAATACAACAATAAAGTAGGCGGCGGGGAGCGGGGAGGGAGGCGGGAGGCCGCGGGGGAGGCGCCACGCAAGGCCGGAGGCCTGGCCCTTCTGCCTCTCCTCAGGGAAAGGCAGCGCCTGGCCCCCTTTTCCACAGCCACATCTCCCGCCGGGATTTGTAGTTCCCTGTGGCTGTCGATCTCTGCCAAATACCTCCCCAAACTACACATCCCATCACCGCGCAGGCCTTAGTGACAGTTGGGGCGCATATTCCAAGCAGAAGGCTCCACAGGACCCTTCCACACAGCCTTATAACCCAGAATATCAAGGCAGAAAATCCCACTGGGTTATCTGAGGCCCCTTCCACACAGCTGAATAAAATCCCACATTATCTGCTTTGAACTGGAATATATGGCGGTGTGGACTCAGATAATCTAGGGCCCTTCCAGACAGGCCCTGTATCCCAGGATCTGATCCCGGTTTTTTTGATTATCTGGTAATGAGGACTCAAATAATATAATCTATATAAATAAAAATGTAATATTCATTTGTGGGATTAACTGAACTCAAAAACCACTGGACGAATTGACACCAAATTTGGACACAAGACACCTATCAGGCCAACGAGTGACCATCACTCAGAAAAACACAGCAGAAGAGATCTTAGGAAACCTTAAGACAGTGATTCTCAACCTTCCTAATGCCGTGACCCCTTAATCCAGTCCCTCATGTTGTGGTGACCCCCAACCATAATATTGTTTTCATTGCTACTTCATAACAGTCATTTTACTACTGTTATAAATCATAATGTAAATATCTGATATGCAGGATGCATTTTCATTCACTGGACCAAACTGGGCACAAATACCCAATACACCCAAATGTGAATGCTAGTGGGGTTGGGCGAGGATTGATTTTGTAATTTGGGAGTTGTAGTTGCTAGGATTTATAGTTCACTTATAATCAAAGAGCATTCTGAACTCCACCAGCGATGGATTTGAACCAAACTTGGCTCCCATGACCAATGGGAAACACTGGAAGGGTTTGATGGGCATTGACCTTGAGTTTGGGAGTTGTAGTTCACCTATATCCAGAGAGCATTGTGGACTCATGCCATGGTGGATCTGGACCAAACTTGGCATTAATACTCAATATACCCAAATGTGAACACTGGTGGAGTCTGGGGAAAATAGATCTTTACATTTGGGAGTTGTAGTTGCTGGGATTTATAGTTCATTACAATCAAAGAACATTCTGAACTCCACCAACCATAGAATTGGCTCAAACTTCCCACATGGAATCCCCATGACCATCAGAAAATACTGTGTTTTCTTATGGTCTTTGGCGACCCCTCTGACACCCCCTCGCGACCCCCTCAGGGGTCCCGACCCCCAGGTTGAGAAACACTGTTCTAGAGGCATTTCTCCTGACGTTTCGCCTGCATCTATGGCAAGCATCCTCAGATTTATGCCATAGATGCAGGCGAAATGTCAGGAGAAATGCCTCTAGAACATGGCCCTATAGCCCGAAAAAACCCACAAGAACCTAGTGATTCCAGCCATGAAAGCCTTCAACAATACAATGTAATGTTCGTTTGTGGCATTAATATAACTCAAAAACCACTGGACGAAAGGACACGAAATTTGGACACAAGACACCTATCAGGCCAATGAGTGACCATCACTCATTAAAAAAAAATACAGCAAAAGGGACTTAAAAAGCAAAAAAAAAAAAAACCCAAAAATTACATTACAATGCATGCACAAAACCACACATCTCTGCCAAATACCTCCCCAAACTACACATCCCATCACCGCACAGGCCTTAGTGATAGTTGGGGCCCTTATTCCAAGCAGAAGGCTCCACAGGGCCCTTCCACACAGCCCTATAACCCAGAATATCAAGGCATAAAATCCCACTGGGTTATCTGAGGCCCCTTCCACACACCTGAATAAAAACCCACATTATCTGCTTTGAACTGGAATATATGGCGGTGTGGACTCAGATAATCTAGGGCCCTTCCAGACAGGCCCTGTATCCCAGGATCTGATCCCAGGTTTTCTGTTTATCCCAGATTATCTGGTAGTGAGGACACATATAATCTATATAAATAAAAATGTAATGTTCGTTTGTGGGATTAACAGAACTCAAAAACCACTGGGGGAATTGACACCAAATTTGGACACAAGACACCTAACAACCCAATGTATGTCCATCACTCAAAAAATATTGATTTTGTCATTTGGGACTTGCAGTTGCTGGGATTTATAGTTCACCTATAATCAAAGAGCATTCTGAATTGCACCAATGATGAAATTGAACCAAACATGGCACACAGTTCTCCCAAGACAGAAAACACTAGAAGGGTTTGATGGGCATTGATCTTGAGTTTGGGCATTGTAGTTCATCTACATCCACAGAGCACTGTGGAATCAAACAATGATGGATCTGGGCCAAACTTAGAAAAAATATTCCATATATCCAAATATGAACACAGAGTTTGGGGGAAATAGACCTTGACATTTGAGATTTGTAGTTACTGGGTTTTATAGTTTACCTACAATCAAAGAGCATTCTGAACCCCACCAATGATGGAATTGAACCAAACTTAGCACACAGATCTCCCACGACCAACAGAAAATACTGGAAGGGTTTGGTGGGCAGCGTCCTTTGGTTTTGGAGTTGTAGTTCACCTACATCCAGAGATCACTGTAGATTCAAACAATGATGGATGTGGACCAAACTCTACACAAATACTCAATATACCCAAATGTGAACACAGGTGGAGTTTGGGGAAAATAGAATCTTGACATTTGGGAGTTGTAGTTGCTGGGATTTATAGTTCACCTACAATCAAAGAGCATTCTGAACCCCACCAATGATGGAATTGAACCAAACGTGGCACACAGTTCTCCCATGACCAACAGAAAATACTGGAAGGGTTTGGTGAGCAGTGTCCTTTGGTTTTGGAGTTGTAGTTCACCTACATCCAGAGATCACTGTAGATTCAAACAATGATGGATCTGGACCAAACTCTACACGAATACTCGATATTCCCAAATGTGAACACTGGTGGAGCTTTGGGAAAATAGAATCTTGACATTTGGGAGTTGTAGTGGCTGGGATTTATAGTTAACCTACAATCACAGAGCATTCTGAACCCCACCAACGATAGAATTGGGCCAAACCTCCCACACAGAACCCCCATGAGCACCAGAGTGGGCCACAGCAACGCATGGCAGGGGACGGCTAGTCTATATAAATAAATTTGGACACAATACACCTATCAGGCCAACGAGTGACCATCATTCATAAAAACACTGAAAAACACAGTGGAAGAGGCTTAAAAGCCTATATATATATCACACAACGTATGCACAAAACCACAAATATATACACAAACACACATATATACACATAGGTAAAGGTAAAGGTTTTCCCCTGACATTAAGTCCAGTTATGTCCGACTCTGGGGGTTGGTGCTCATTTTCATATGTGTATGTACACATAAGAGTCCCCCTGCGGGGGTTGAGAAGGCCAGGGTACAAATAATTGAAATAAATAAAAAATAAATATACAAAAACCTGTACACGCACAAAACACATATACACACACTGGGCCACAACAACGCGTGGCAGGGGATGGCTAGTCTAGTATAAAGCAGAAAACCTGAGGTCAGATCCTGGGATAAAAGGCATATCTGGAAGGGTCCGCAGTTCAAAGCGGATATTGTGGGATTTTCTGTCTTGATTTTCTGGGTTATATGACTCTGAGGAAGGGCCCTGGATTGCTGTGAGTGTTCCGGTAGCACTCTCTCTTGATATTTCACCTGCATCTATGGCAGACATCCTCAGATTTGTTCAGAGATCTTTTGGGAATGAGGCAAGTAGAGTGTTTATATATCTGGAATGTCCGGAGTGGGAGAAATAACCCTTGTTTGTTCAAAGCAAGTGTGGATGTTGCAATTAGCAAGCTTGAGTAGCATATAATAATAATAATAATAATAATAATAATAATAATAATAATAATAATAGGAAAAACAACAGGAAAAACTCAGCCGTTATCAGGACCTCAAAATCGAACTGCAAAGGCTCTGGCATAAACCAGTCCAGGTGGTCCCAGTGGTCATTGGCACACCAAAAGATCTCAGCGGCATTTGGAAACAATAAACATTGACAAAATCACGATCTGTCAACTGCAAAAGGCCACCTTACTTGGATCTGCACGCATCATTTCGAAAATACATCACACAGTCCTAGACACTTGGGAAGTGTTCGACTTGTGATTTTGTGATACGAAATCCAGCATATAGATCTCGTTTGCTGTGACATACTGTGCTTTTGTTTATGGAAGAAGATCTTTCGACAATATAGAAAGTGTTATTTTGTGTCACTGTGCCTGACATTGTTTAATTGTTATTTTGGAAGCTCTAGTTTCACTGTTGACAAAGTATTGAAAAATTATCTTCTATTTATAAACAGTCTTTAATTAATCGTGTGAATGTTCTCATGTTACATTCAATGTAGAAATTCTGGGAACATAGAAATTGTGATTTGCAATCTACAGTTTTTGTAATTGTTATAGATATCTGTGCATGTTACACACATATACTGTGCTTTTGTGTCAGTAAAATAATAATAATAATAATAATAATTTTATTTCTTACCTGCCTCTCCTCATGGCTCGAGGTGGGTTACAAAACAATTAAAATTCCTAAACACACCAAAAACACTACAAATACACTATAACATACCTCCATAAAAGTTACATACCAAAACGTATCTATGAAATACACATTAAAACATACAAAACAGAGATTAAAGAAAGGACATGCATTAAAAATCATGTTTATGTTTAAAGGCTGTCTGGATAGGCCTGCCGGAAGGGACAGGACTTCACTTGTATCTTAAACAGCCGATTTAGCCGTTGAGCTCTACTGGCAGGTCATTCCACAGCCTCAGGGCGGCCAATGAAAAGGTCTTCTGAGTGGTGGTGGCCAGTTGTGTTCTGTCTGGTTGGATTAGACGCCCCCCAGA